GGTGGAATGAAAATTGCCAGAAGGCGTTTGAGAGAATAAAATAGTATCTGCAAGAACCTCCAATACTCATGCCTCCAGTTGTAAGGAGACCTCTGATCATGTATCTCACGGTTCTTGAGAATTCAATGGGATGTGTGCTCGGTCAACAGGACGAGTCAGGTAGAAAAGAGCACGCCATCTACTACCTAAGTAAAAAAGTTCATTGATTGTGAGTCGAGATACTCAATGCTGGAAAAAACATGTTGTGCACTCGCTTGGGCTGCTAAGCGTTTGGGACAGTACATGTTAAACCACACAACCCTGTTGATTTTGAAGATGGATCCTATCAAGTATGTCTTTGAAAAACTAGCACTCCCCAGAAGGGTTTCCCGATGGAAAATGGTTTTAACAGAGTATGATATTCAGTGTGTTTCCCAAAAAGCCATAAAGGGAAGCGTTCTATCAGAATATTTCACTGAACAACCGATTGAGGATTATCAACCAATGAAGTTTGATTTTCCAGATGAAGACGTCATGTTTTTGAAGATGAAATATTGTGATGAGCCTTTACCTGACTAGGGTCCTGAGATTGGATCTCAGTGGAAACTGGTTTTCAATGGAGCCATTAATTCATATGGTAATGGAATTGGTGCAATCATTACAACTCCTCACGGTTCTCATATACCGTTCATTGTCCAATTGACATTCGCCTGCACCAATAATGAAGCTGAATATGAAACGTGCATTATGGGTTTAGAAGAGGCCATTGATCTGAGGATCAATAATCTAGATGTGTACGGCAATTCAGCACTAGTCGTTAATCAAATCAAAGGAGAGTGGGAAACTCGTCAGGCCAACCTGGTGCCTTACAAGAGCTATACAAGGAGACAGTTTCCTTTCTTTGATAGAGTTGAGTTCCATCATGTGCCTAGGGCTGAAAATTAGATGGTAGACGCCTTGGCCATGTTATCATTGATGTACAAAGTGAATTACTGGAATGAAGCTCCAACTATCACCATCACGCGTCTTGATAGACCCGCTTTTGTGTTTGCTATTAAAAAGGTATCAGATGGAAAGCCTTGGTATTTTGATATCAAGCATTTTTCAAGAATCAAGAGTACCCAGCCAGGGCATCCATCAAAGATAAGAAGACTCTGAGGAGGTTAGCCAGTAACTTCCATTTGACATGGTTTTGCTGCGTTGTGTTGACGAACATGAAGCAAACATGTTGATGGAAGAGGTCCACGAGGGTTTTTTTGGTACCCATGCCGGTGGACATGCAATGGCCAGAAAAATGTTAAGAGCTTGGTATTATTAGATGACCATGGAATCCGATTGCTTCAAATACGCCAGAAGATGCCATAAATTCCAGATTTATGCTGATAAGGTGCATGTGCCACCGACCCCTATGAATGTGTAAACATCTCCTTGGCCCTTTGCTATGTGGGGCATTGATAGGATCGAAAAGATTGAGCCGACTGCTTCCAATGGTCATCGCTTCATTCTGGCTGCGATCAATTACTTTATGAAATGGGTAGAAGCAGTTTCCTTTGCCAATGTCACCAGGCAAGTGGTTGCTCATTTTATAAAGAAGGACATCATTTGTCGTTATGGAATTTCGGAGAGAATCATTACTGATAATGGTTCAAATTTGAATAACAAGATGATGAAGCAGTTTTGCCAGAGTTTCAAGATTGAGCATCACAACTCTTCTCCATATCGTCCGAAGTTGAATGGCGTTAATGAGGCAACTAAAAAGAATATCAAGAAGATTGTGCAAAAGTTGGTTGTAACCTATAAAGATTGGCACGAGATGTTGCCCTTTTCTCTTCACGGTTATCGTACTTTGGTGCGTACGTCAACTGGGACAACTCCTTTCTCACTAGTGTAGGGCACAGAAGCAGTCCTACCATTAGAAGTTGAGATTCCTTCTTTGAGGGTATTGTCTGATGCGAAGCTTGACGAAGCTGAATGGGTGCATACCAGGTTGAATCAGCTGAGTTTGATTGAAGAGAAGAGATTGGCAGACATTGCTAATGGCCGGTTGTACCCGAGTAGGATGAAGAAATCCTTTGATCAGAAAGTGCGTCCTAGGTGCTTCCAAATAGGTGATTTGGTGTCGAAAAGGATCCTTCCTCCTTAGATAGATCACAGGAGCAAATGGACTCCCAACTATGAAGGTCGATATGTGGTTAGAAAGGTTTTCTCTGGTGGAGCCTTATTACTATCAACCATGGATGGTGAAGATTTTTTGTCCCCTGTGAACGCAGACGTGGTTAAAAAATACTTTGCTTAAAAGAGACCCGCTGGACAGAAAAAGAAAAGTCCAGACAAATATGGGTCATCCTTGACAAACCATAAAAAGAAAAGGTTCGGGCAAAAATTAGGGATAAAGGAAAAAGAATGAACCCGCAAAGTTGAAAACCTGAAAAGGCGACTTTGACCAAAATGGGTATCCCGGTGGATTGAAAACCCGAAAGGGAGACCCAAGCAAAAGTTAGGGATTTGAAAGCAAACGATTGCGGTCTGCATTCGATCTGTGAAGTTACCCGATACACGGTTATCTCGAAGTAAAGGAATCAGTTCAATCAGTCTTGTTAGAAGGAAAAACATAGGGAACATCGAATATATACAGGTCATAGCTGAATCGATACATGGTGTTTGTCTGTTTCCACATTGCTGACATTTGTATATATTCTTTTTGCTTTTTTACACAATTACCTATTTTCAGGAATTGCACCCGAATTGTAATTCGCCTATTTACATGCCTTTGATCAATAAAGTATTCTTTTCAGTCAAAGAGCTTTTCATTTCTTGTTTTACTTTTACTATTTTGTTTGCAAAAACGTCTGATATTTTTTTATAAACATTACAGGTGAAAACATGAGGCTTTGCAGAGCATAATGAAAGCGATGGATTTTCTTGAGTGATAAGTGTCATAAATGGTAACCGAGGTAACCATTTCACACATGGGGCATCCTATTTGTTTCTTGTTTGTTGCAGGATGACAGGATCCTCTCCCAGTAGAGCTTTTCTCCCTGACGGTAATGCATGGTGAATTATCCCTCTCCTAGCAGGAGTTCAGAGTTGTATTTCCCAGCTGAAGTTTGACTCGTACTCCCCAGCGAGTGTTCGGAGATTGACTACTTCAGATAGAATGCAGTCAGAAATTTGTGTTTCCCCACAGCAGAGGTTTTGTCTTCCCCGCAGAATCCTGTTATCAAATCGGAAGTGCTGTCACCAGCGGAAGTGTAGTGTATCTCTAGGAAAGCAGAGTTTTTTGTCTACCCACAAAGGCTAACCCTCAACAAGGCGGATTTGTCCTCAGCATATTTAGAAGAGTAGGGATGAAGGATATTCCCTTGGTGGCAGGGTGGATTCAATGTTACTCTCCAGCAGAGGCAACGTCCTTAATGTCCTTCCCCAATGGAGTCGACGCTCTGATGTCTCCCTGGAAAGATCAGTATTCATGAACTTCTTCCCTGAGCAGAGTTTAGTGTCGATTCCCTCGACAGATACATCAATGGCAGGTTGGTATCTCCAGCAAAGTCCAATGATCATTGACATCTTTCAAGATCAGTTTTCGGGACGAGCTCCCAACGGATGGTATTCTCATTTTTCTCAGGGAAAATGTTTAAGCAGGGCTTGTTTATTCCCTAGCAGAGTGGAGTTCTTTGTAGATGTTCATGACATTCTCTATGGAGGGGAAAGCATTAACAGAGGTTGCTTTCATCTCTTCTTCAGGATGGAATCTTCAGTAGAAGTCGCTTATATCCCCAGCAGGGTGGATTGTTATTCTTGTATATCCCTAGCAGGGTGGATTATTATTCCTGTATTCCAAGCAGAATGGGGCCTTTAGCAGAAGCTTATCATCCCCACCAGGTGGGATTTCAGTGTTATTTTTGATCCCCCACTTAGTGGAGTTTTGGTGTTTTCCCCAGTAGGGTGAAGTTTTTCAAGGAGAGCTATCCAGGGCGTATTACCCAACAAGGTGAAGTTTTTCCAAGAGGGTCATCCAGGGCATTTTCCTCAACAAGGTTGGTTTGCTGGTCTTCTCATCACACTTCTGGGTTGTGTTCCTTTGCATTTGCATTTGCATAGCATCTTCCTATCACACCCTAATTTTTGACTTTAAAATTCCACCTTCTTTGTGCGTTTCTTGCGTTATTTGCCTTTATAATTTCATATTCGTGTTTATTGCAACTAACCAGTATGTGCTGGTATGTCAAGATTAGTGATACTGTTTCTATAAAATTTAAGCGCTTCAGACTACCTCTGGATCATTTCCAAAGGGCGCACTGTCTTTATCAAGAATTTCAGGTCACAGAGCATTATTTTTAAAAAGAGCAAATTTGATTACACTTTGAATTTTATGATCTTCCGAAATGTGATAGTGTTATTTGTGGCCTCTGCGCCAGAGAATTGAGTTCTATTTTATTTGAAGTGTTCTGATTACCATTTTCAAGCCGTTTGAATGCATAAGTCAAGATCGTTGTGGAAATATAGTGCATTAGGCGTATTTGGGTTTGACTTAAAGTTTTGGCCAGACGGTGTCAATTTATTAATTTTCTTAAGACTTAAAGATGGACTTTTGGTTGCAAGCGTTCAAGTTCTTTTATTTTAAATATAAGCATTTGATATCAAGCTCATGATCACAAGACGTTATTTTGAGTCACAAAGACATCATTTCTCATACATTATAATCAAGTTTGGTTTACAATGTTTACAAGTTACAATTTGGTTACACCTAGTTTCTAATGAAATTCTAAGACTAAGTGTTGATTTTATAATCAAATTTGGTTTACAATGTTTACAAGTTACAATTTGGTTACACCTAGTTTCTAATGAAATTCTAAGACTAAGTGTTGATTCCATTTGGCCCTTTGGGACTTCAAGAACTTCCATTGCTGCTACCACCAGAGATCATAAGCTTGTCATCATCCTACCGGCAGAAAAGAAACACACGTCAGTACACATTTGGATTATACCTTTCTGCTACGGTTCAGATTCATTAGAAAGAAATGTGGCGCCCTCAGATTCGAAAATCATCATCAGGTCCGCAAACATCTAAGCAGGGGAAGGGTAACGTCGGTCCTAGGACGACGGCCGCCAACCTCCAAATCCTACTTTTTCTTAAAGGCAAGAATGTCCAACAATTCAGGTACAGAAACAGGGACAATGCGCTCAGATTCAAAGGAGTCGTCATTGGGCTTTTTTTTCTCTTTCCAAAGACAGCCAACAACCTACGTTTCTCAAAGAAGAGATGTTCAAGTTTTCAGCAACACAAGAAAGCCAAGAACAATCATAACACAAAAATAGACCATGTCAATTTTAATCACAAGAATATCTAAAAGAGAATTCTTGGCTTGTTCAGATGGAGGTTACCATCATCATCACAAGAATAGCGCATTGGACCCTTCGCAACAATCACCGTGGGACAACCTTTAGGCTAACCAAGTTTAACAACATACAACAACATATCTCCAACGTGGCCAAACCTCACAGAGGATTAAACAGTCATATGAACATCAAAGAGTATCATCATTTTTTTTCCAGAACAAGTATCAAGAATAATTAGAAGAAGTAGAAGACAAAATCGAAAACTTCCAAAACACGTGCTGGTACGTTAAAACGAAAATGGAAAGGTATTCACCCTCCATCAAAGAAACATGGCCCACTCTAAATCCATCCAAATCCCGGGTTCTGATTCTGAAATTCCCATATAAGGCTCATCGGCAGAAGGCAACAAATTGTGAGTTCAAGACCAGGCCTAACTTTTAGTTTTCTTTTGAGCTGGAATTGGAAAGAAAACACAGAGTTAAGACAAAATCAATCCTGCAATCACAGAAACAACAAGGCAGAATCAGCAGTAAATTCAGAATCACAAATCATATCATAATTCTTTCCAAAACCGTATTCAACGACAATCTCACATTCAAAGTAGTAATCCCAAATTAATTCGAATAAAAGCTCGCGAGACAGAGAAAGAGGAAGGGAAATGGAAGAGAGGAAGGGAAATGGAGAAGGGCCATGCGGCGGAAGAGAGGAAGAGTCTTTGTGATTAGGGTTTTTCTAGTTTTTTATTTTATATATTGTAAGTCCTGTGTGCACACACCCACGATAACTACCGTACACCCGTGCATCACCACCATTCACCCCCTCCCGATCAACAATCCACGCTGCACAGTTGACTCCCCACAATAAGTCCCAGGAAGCATACCACGCATGACCATCGTCCCCCACTAATCTCTTCATTAACCCTCCTAATCTTAAATAATTTAATCATAATCTAACCTATTTTACTAATTAATTAATTATATAATCATTAATCGAATTTTTCACCTAAATAACCACCTTTTCACACAAATATATCCATTCTACCCAACATTTCAAATTATTTTCCAATCTACCCTAGTTTGGGTTTTTTTTTAATTTTTTTAACAAGGGGGCGCCATGGGGGATGGAGCCTCCCTTATAACTTGTTAGGGGGCGCCATGGGGGTTGGAGCCTCCCTACAAATTATAAAGGGGGCGCCATACCCATTGGAGCCTCCCTTAAACGAAAATTTAAAAAAAATTTTAATGTTTAATTAATTTAAAAATATTTAATAAATAATTATTAATAAATTAATTTTTTTTTAAAAATAATAATTTTGTAAATAAATAATAATAATTAGTATTTTCATATTTTTAACAATTTATAAATAAATAATAATTAATATTTTCATTGATAAATTCTAAACAACAAATAAAAATTAATTTTGATTAAATAAATTTAATCACATACAAATGGCTACATTTGAAAGATCTTGTACACTAATTTCTACGACTCGGTCGATTTAAATGTCCGCCCGTACCGCATCCTCGATTACGCACGTTTCTTGGTGGTCGTTGTGGTGGAGTCGGGTCCACCGTGTCGTCATCAAGCATTTGTATCACTTCGGCCCATGCAGACGGATCCATATCCGTTAAGTCATCCAAATCAAAAGAGTTGCCCATGCCTTCATAGTTAGTTTGGGGTGGTTGGCTAGACGAGGCAATTTCAGGACGATAGCCTGCCTGATCGTAGGGTGGGATGGGTGTAAATGATTGGGTGGGTATTGGTTGATTGGGTGTTTGAAACTGGGAGTATGTGTGGTATTGTGGTGGATGTTGTTGGTATTCGGATTGTGAATGAGTTTGTGTGAATGGAGTGAATTGGTTAGGAGTATGTTCATATGGTTGTGATTGCGTGAGTGGGGGTTGGAAATAGGGTTGGGTGGGGGGTTGGAAATGGGGTTGGGATGGCGGTTGGAAATTGGGTTGGGTTGGCGGTTGGAAATAGTATTGGGTTGATGGTTGGCATTGAGGTTGGGTTGGCGGTTCGAAATAGGGTTGGGATGGTTGTTGGGGCCTTGATGATGAATCTTGTTGGCGTGGGTCATTAAGATACCTTGGATGTGAAATGAAACCAATTGATACAGACCTATACCAAGTCATGTATTGTAAAGATTGTTTCATTTCGTATGGAAACACGTTGTCGGACAAAACGTAGTTGGTGCGATGCCTCCATTCACGACACTCGTGTTTTGCATACTTGGTCCACGAATTATATTCCCATTGATCGGAGACTTTACCGTTGTGATATTTGTCTGGTATGCACTTTGGGGGACATGGAATATCTTGAAGCATTCCAAATTGAAGTTTCACACGGTCACTGTTGTGCATTTCGACGGTGGTGAAGTTGATAATGGGCACCTTTGCACTCCACACCGCAGAATCTTGTCGTTCAACTTGATGAAATGCTTCTAGACCAAGATACGGCCGCCAAATGAACTGAAGCATGAAAAAAAAAAGTTTAGTAATTTCTAATAATTTTCAAGGAGAGCCTAACATTAATGAGGTCAAGTATTTTCAAGAGAAAATACTTGACAACAGCGACGTTGATCAAATGTTCGATAGTCACGAACAATCTGGCCTCGACTATATCGAGGTTTACCTGTTACTCTGCCAAACTGAACATGAGGTTGGTGAAACAACGGATATAGATGAAATTGATGTTGTGGACGAGGAGGAAGAAGATCCAGAGACCATGGTTGATCAAATGGTTAATTTGTTCGGGAGCGGGGACTACACTGCAATGACTCCCCTGCAAGACATAGATGAAGAGGCCCTACCATTAAATCAAGTGTATTGTCCTCCTCAACACATGACGAACTTGCAATGCAGTGGCGAAGATACTTCCTCAGATTATTTCTACAATCCTTCTCAACAAATTGAAAGTGTCTTGAAAGTCGGAAACCAGTACCGCACGAAAGAGGAATGCATGAAAGCCATAAGAAAGTTTCATATGGATAACTTTGTTGATTTTTACATCAATCGGAACGACTCAAAACGCTATGTCGTAGTTTTTCGTAACGCAAGTTGCAAGTTTCGGTTAGCAGCGTCCTATCGGAAAAGAAGTGATTGTTGGGAGATAGGTTCGATGGATCCACCTCATAGTTGCACAACCAACATCAATCGGCAAGATCATGGAAAACTAAGCTCTCAATTGATATCCCAAGAGATTTTGCATCTTGTGGGCGCGGATCCATCTGTGAAGGTCAGCACAATTATCTCTCATGTTGTTGCACGGTTCAACTATACCCCATCGTATAGGAAAGCTTGGATAGGTAGAATAAAAGCGGTGGAACATGTATATGGGAATTGGGAGCATTCTTACCATCAACTTCCACAGTATCTACTAGCACTTCAGAAATATGTTCCTGGTACGATTGTAATATTGGAGTCACTACCAGCATACACTCCTGAAGGAACATGTGTTACTGGAAGTAGGATATTTTCTCGCCTCTTTTGGGCATTTCAACCATGTATCAAAGGTTTTGCATTCTGCAAACCAGTTATACAAGTCGATGGAACATGGTTGTATGGAAAATACAAAGGAACATTGTTGATGGCGGTAGCACAAGACGGAAATAATAATATATTTCCGATTGCCTTTGCCCTGGTCGAGGGTGAGACAGGCGAAGCTTGGAGTTTCTTCCTTAGAAACCTCAGAACACATGTCGCACCACAACCCAACTTATGTCTGATTTCTGACAGACATGCTTCTATTGTGAGCGCCTACAAAAATCCTGCTAATGGTTGGCACAACCCTCCTTCTGTCCATGTCTTCTGCATAAGACACATTGCTCAGAATTTTATGCGGGACATTAAAGACAGAAACCTCCGTAAAAAAGTTGTGAACGCTGCCTATGCCTTAAACCAACCATCCTTCATGTTTCAAACACCCAATCAACCAATACCCACCCAATCATTTACACCCATCCCACCCTACGATCAGGCAGGCTATCGTCCTGAAATTGCCTCGTCTAGCCAACCACCCCAAACTAACTATGAAGGCATGGGCAACTCTTTTGATTTGGATGACTTAACGAATATGGATCCGTCTGCATGGGCCGAAGTGATACAAATGCTTGATGACGACACGGTGGACCCGACTCCACCACAACGACCACCAAGAAACGTGCGTAATCGAGGATGCGGTACGGGCGGACATTTAAATCGACCGAGTCGTAGAAATTAGTGTACAAGATCTTTCAAATGTAGCCATTTGTATGTGATTAAATTTATTTAATCAAAATTAATTTTTATTTGTTGTTTAGAATTTATCAATGAAAATATTAATTATTATTTATTTATAAATTGTTAAAAATATGAAAATACTAATTATTATTATTTATTTACAAAATTATTATTTTTAAAAAAAATTTAATTTATTAATAATTATTTATTAAATATTTTTAAATTAATTAAACATTAAATTTTTTTTTAAATTTTCGTTTAAGGGAGGCTCCAATGGGTATGGCGCCCCCTTTATAATTTGTAGGGAGGCTCCAACCCCCATGGCGCCCCCTAACAAGTTATAAGGGAGGCTCCATCCCCCATGGCGCCCCCTTGTTAAAAAAATTAAAAAAAAACCCAAACTAGGGTAGATTGGAAAATAATTTGAAATGTTGGGTAGAATGGATATATTTGTGTGAAAAGGTGGTTATTTAGGTGAAAAATTCTCATTAATCAGCTTTTTATTCTCTCTTTTAACACAAGTTAATAAATTTTTTTAATTAATTATTTCTAACTAATTCGCACTTTATTTAAATAACCATCTTCTTTTTCTAACTTAATTAATTTACTATTTTATTTAATAAATCAATTTATTTTATTCACTTTTTATTTAATTTATTTCACCAATTTAATAACCCTTTTATAATAATAGAACAAAAACCTATTTCTTTCAATTTGATATAACTTTTATTTATTTAATAAAATCTCCAATTTAATAAAATCTCCTTAGTAAAAATAAATGATAAAAC